CTTCCAAATCCCCCTCCTAAAAAAAAAAAAAAAAAAAAAAAAAACACCAACATAACACACAAGATTATTAGTTACTATGTCAGAAAACAGTATTCGGAGTCATAAATTATTACCTTCTAGAAAAAGACAACAATGGTGTAATGGTGTACTAGTGAAACTGTAGATGTTGTAGGAAACAAGTGTATCCCAATAAATGTCTATAAGAAAGTGAGTACTCAGATGTTGTGACATTACCTGGTGTGCTCATGAAACTTCACATTCTGAGCACTTTTTCAACCCACATACATAAACATGGGGATATATGTTTCCAGAAGTACTACAGCTGACATAGAACACATAAGTTTAAGAGAATTCCCCAACCCTCTAAACAGTCCCTCACCTATGTCTCAAGCTAACCTTTTATGGAGTAAGGAGAAGGGTCTTCTAATGGTTTAATGTCGCGTTAAGAAAAAAAGGAAATGGAATGCATAAAAAAAACCAGTGCCTGTGTACAATGAAAAGAGGCTGCTGACACAGTCTCAGATATACATACGCTAGGACTTGAACCCTCCGGCTTGAAAAGAACGATCAAAAAACAAACTGTGAAGTGACCAAGTGTCCTATGGACACAGTATTACTCAGAATAATTTCTTGTATGACTCCAACACTGCAGTTGCTTCTTCATTATTCACTAACAACCACTAAGGAAGACATCATCTAGACATACTGTGTGTCTAACCCAAATGCAAAATAGGCAGTACGTATTTTGGTAACAGTGTACAAATTGTCACCAATAGTCACAGTAGACTATCAAGGCTGTTTTTCCCTCAGTTGAAGCCAACACTAAGGGTGCTGATGATTTACTTCACTCAATGTTACAAACACCACACACAACTCTGGGGAGTGCCAGGGCTGCACTCGGCCCCAGCACAGCAGTAGGGCAGAGAGCTGTCTCTAGCTCAGCGTCTGGCTCTCTTGAGACCTGAACTTCCTCCCAACCTCCCTGATGACTTGCCTCACCTCCTTGCAATTCCAAACAGCTTCCAGCCCGCCCTGCCGCCTCAGGTTCATCAGTTCTGAACAGCTTTAGGGACTGTGAAGTAACTGGGCTTGAAAACTTTCTTCACCACACTATATTGCTATTTTTCAGTCTCCCTCCCTTTCCACCTTTGTCATCTCAGTTCTTTCTTCTGAATCTATTGCCATGAATGTGACTGCTTTTCTTTCCTACTTTTCCTTAATAATATTATTTTCTTCCCTTGTTCTGAGTATTCTTGGCATTTTGGAAGACAGCAGAGGTATATCCTCCCTCTCGCCCCCTCCATAGGGGGCCACAGAATTAAGGCAGCCTACAACCCCAGCCATTGCATGGTCACTCTGTTGACAGCCTATCGCCTTTCCCTCTCAATCCATTGGCCTTTTCTAGGAAGTTACACTTCAGTGTAACCATTGCCTCAGTGACTGACCTCTGTAAGCAACACAGATGGACAAGATAAGGCTTTTCAAACCTCATTGTCCAAAGTCAACGACCAAGCCTACACCCACAAGCTGTGCAGAAGCAGCTGTGGGGAGATGCTGTGGGGCCATCCTGGTCCCTGGGCAGCTGGGAGCTGAGCAGGGTGCTGCAAGCAGGCTCCCCTGCAGCTCTGTGCCCTCACCTCGGACCCATCCTCGACGCTCTCCCCAGGGACCCTAGTCTGAGGGAAAACACCATCCTTTTCATTTTTACACTGTTTTTACCTTTTTAGAACCTGAGACCGCAAGCTGCCACTACACACATGCACAAGGGAAACAGGTAACAACAGAAAGAGTCATTCTCTTTTTTAACATGTTAAGCCTGTGGTTTTCTCCTTCACTTTATGTCCCACACACATTCCCAAGATTAAGTTCTTGAATGGATTTTTTCATTATTTACTTCTTTGAAAAAACACAATGCTTTTCCTAGTCCCTGAAACCCCACAGCTGAATAATTATTAGACAGACACTGTCTATAATTAATACAAGTAAGAAGGGAAAATACTCTAACTGTGGTCCAGACTTCAGTAAGTCTACAGAACACCTGAAAAAGCACATAAATAAATAAAAAATTACTGTGCTTGCAACCTTGTTATTCAGAAATGTTTCTCACGGTGTTGTACCATAGCTTAGGAAATCAATGATAGATGCGACTGCAGGGGGATCCCAGGTCTCTCCCAAAGCCATGTTCCAAGGACTGTGACCCGCATTGGAGTGCAGCAAGCTATCTGTGCAGTTCCAGAAGACACTATTCACTGTGCAGATGATGGGCAGTAATCCTGGCCCTAAGACCATGACTTAGCGTCTTTAATATTAATCCCTGCTTGCACATGGCAGAGATGGTCTCTCCTTTAAGCACTCAGAACCCTTTTTTGTTCCATTTTGGGGCTTTCGGTATTGCAGAAAATGTTTCCATACTCAACTGGTGTTTAAACATTAAACAAATACTAGAAATTCATACTTAGTTTTATCCCTCTGATATTTAACACACAACTATCGCTCATGCACCTCATTAGAAGCAATGTTTTAGATTTGCTGTTTCCAACATCTGAATTCACAGGTGCATGGCATTTTCCAGAGTACCTGAACAGCTTGAAGAAGGAGTCTGTGTCTAACTGATGTGTTTTTCAGTAGCTCATGCTTCATACTGCCACTGCTGGGAGCTTGGCTAGCACAGCCTGCAAGTTCCATAGAACTTGGTGCATTTGGTCATTTTTTAAGCTTTACACGGCTACAATAACCAGTGGGAGACAAACCCCCAGCTATCTTCAACTTCCCTTTGCAACATACCTCAAAAATTAACTTGAATACTTTATTTTCCAGCTAATTGCTATAATGGCCACAAGCATTTCCTGAATAAGGCATTTAATTTGCAAAGTCAGAAGCCAAAGAGGAAGTTGTTCACTAAAAGCTAGGTAATTGTCTTCTGCATCATGAAGTGCTTAGAGAACCCCATCACTGGGGTACAAGGCTTTCTTGCTAATTATTTTCTTAATTATTTTACATGATTGATTGTAAATATTCCAGTTTATAGCCATGAATAACAACAATTGTTATGGAAGGAACACTAAGTTAATCACTATCAAAACCCTCAAAAAAAAAAAAAAATGAAGAGCCTTGCTACTTCAGCTTGACCTTGTAGAAGCAGTTTTGGAGTTCAGCGTAAAACCAAGCAGCCCTTCCTTCTCCTGCTCTTCAGGTTTGGGATTCAACCAAGCTGAACGCACAGTAACAACGAGGACCTGCAAGAGGTATTAATTGAAATGCCACAGGTTTCATGCTGTGAGCAGGTATTTACAAGGTTTTCAAAGGTTAATTGAACACAGCAGAAGTTGTACTGTCTGAAGTGACTAAGACACCTTTCAACCCCAACTCCAAATTAAATGTTTGATCCAAGGTGTTTTCATTTTTTTCTAGAGCTCTCAAACTGCAGGTGACAGAGCCTTTTACATGCAGAACATGTGCCACTCTCGTCTCCTTGATTCACATCCCAAGTCTCTGTAACAGATAGATGTTGCAATGAGGTCATTGCCTTGTTTCTCTTCATTTGAAGACACACGTTCCTTCAAGGGAACCCATCTGATCAGCTCATAGAATACAAGCCCAACAAGGCTGAAATGATGCAGGCCTAACAAGTACAGGGAAGAAGGCAAACATGACAGTTATTCACACACTACAAACAGCTCAGTGCGCAATAAACACACCTATCTGACACACTACAACACTCATCAGTTTTCATCATTTCCAAAGTACACTGACACAGAGGTTTATTTAGTCATAGGGTTTTGGTTTGTTTCAATTTTGGTGTTCTTAAAGACAAGACCTTCATCCCCACGCTAAATCTTCTGTACAAGGCCACAAGTACTTGGCCATTCAAAGGAGCAACTCAAACAGTCAAGAGCCTGAGCCTCCCCAACAGGAGTTCAAAACATGTGACATCTTGCAACAAATTAAGCTTCCACGTGGATTTCTGCTTGCTGGCTACTTCGCAACAGCTACCAGAATGTAGCCAATGTGTCATGTAGAAAAAAAATAGACATGTCAACCTTTCATCATCTAAAAGGACATACGCATCTGAATTGCTGCTTTGTACCACACATCCTCCACCACAATTAATACGTGCCAAGCAAACCACGCACAAGAATCATTCTAGTTACAAAGGCACTTGCAATATTTTGCTTGTACTGCATTTTTTTCCAGGACACAATAAGGAACTCCCAAGTAGATAGCAAATATGTTTTTCTTGGAGAATGCAGCATCTACATGAAGAGCAACTGAGAAAATGAAGACATCTTCCAAGAGTTTATGTGAGAAAAGTTAGCATGCAAAAGAATTTAATTATTGTCATTTTACCTATATAAGCGTTACTTAAAAGTAAGTTTTCTCCTCCAGCTTTGACCTTTGTGCAGTCTCTCTCACAAGTTTTACAATGGAGTCAATAGTTCAGTTAGACCACATTGCAGCATATTTAATGAGATGTACCTTGATACCTTCCTCTGGAGTCAAGATATCAAAGTATCAGAAGATCCTGAATAAATTAAACCTTTTTTTCCGAACTGTTAAAGCCTGACATATGCAGAAACACAAGGAGGACAACAGCAGACACTGAATCAAAGACTGAAACCTACAGATCCTCTACTATCTGCATGAGTACTAATTCACCACCATTTCCAGGAAAAAAAAAAAGATGTTTGGAAGCTGTTATTATTACCATGCTTCAGAATTCTCTGACAAAATTAAACAGATCCATTTTCTGGATATTCCAAAAGTAGTAAGTCAAATGAAGTAACTAAGTGATCCATGACAGACTTTATTGTCCCACCATAGCCCATACTGCCATCAGGAATCTCCAAACAGATTTGGGAGGTTTGGGGCATCAAAGACCCAAGTCCCAAACCCTGAGCAACTTAC